GCACCCCCATGACATGCGCACGGTACCCAAGAAACAAGGGGACCCACAGAGCTGTGATGGACCATGATACATTTTGTGGTAGCGCTTCTTCTGCGTTTTACTCAAAGTCTTAATTATCCTATTTCTGATCTGGGTGCAAACCACAGATTGCTGCCAATATAGGGATGCTTTCTGGTTGTGGGTGTGATTTGAAACCCTGAGTCAGAGGCAGGAGTTGTCAGTCCTTTCACGTGGATAAGTGAATATTGCTAGGGGAGCAGTGTTAGGGAGAAAATCTTTTCTGATTCTTAAGTGGTGATTCTTCCATCAGTATTTAGAAAATATAAATTTTTAAAAATGTTTTAAATTGTAATTTATTACTTATTTGAGAGGCACAGAGAGTGTGTATGTTCCCGTCAGCTGGTTCATTCCCCAAATGCCTGTAAAAAGGCCAGGAGCCAGGAACTCAGTTCAGATCTCCCATGTGGGAGGCAGGAAGCCAGTCATCTGAACCACCACCATTGCCTTCCAGGGTCCAAATTACCAGAAAACTGGAATCATGAACCAGAACTGTCAATCAAACCCGGGTTTTCTGATGAAAGTTGTAGGCATCTCAACTGCCATCTTTACCACCAGGCTAAAGCCTGCCCTGGAAGTGGTTTTGTACTTCTGCAGGGTGGCATCGTAACTGGGAAAAGGGATGGAAACAAGTTTAGGGTGCAGTTTCAAATTTCTGTGTAAATCATCAAAAAAGCACCAGCTCCAATACAGGGGCAGAAAATACCATTCCAAGTACAAGTGCTTTGAGTTTAAATCATCAGTTCTTAAAAAAGATATTTATTTTGAAAGTCGGGGTTACAGAGAGCGAAGGAGAGACAGAAAGAGGGAGATCTTCTAATGGGTGGCTCATTCCCCAGGTGGTCAGTGCTGGGCCAGGTCAAAACCTAGAGCCAGGAACTTCATATGAGTCTCCCATGTGAATGGGCAGAGGCCCAGACACTTGGGCCATGTTCTGCTGCTTTTCTAAGCCACACTTAGAAAGAAACTTATAGTTAAAGTATAGAAATTAATAAAGACTCAAGAACATGATCTAATTATGTACCTCAAGAGATTCAAAAATATATAAAGTCCAAAGAAAGTAGAAAAAAGGGAATAACAAAGATAATATCTAAAAACCAATGAAATAGGAAACTACAATAGAGTGATTATTTCTAAGTTGGTTATTGAAAAACAAGTATAATGGAAGATTTCTGTTAAGACAGATCAAAAAGCAAACAATGAAATTATCAAAATTAAGAATGAAAAAATGGACAGCATAAGAGCTTATAGAGATAAAAAATATTAAAATGTTATGAACAACTTTATGCCAATAAATATGAAAATTTATATGAAATTAACATAATCCTAGAAAAATACAATGTATCAAAATTGACTCATACTAAATGAAAAATCTGCATATTTCTATGTAAAAATTATAATTTAAAATTTTCCCCAAAAAATCTTCAATATTGTGAAGTTGTTAAATGTCCTTAAACTGACTTATTGATCTAATTCAACCAACAGAATGGGAAAAAATATTCGCAAACTATGCAACAGATAAAGGGTTGATAACCAGAATCTACAAAGAAATCAAGAAACTCCACAACGTCAAAACAAACAACCCACTTAAGAGATGGGCCAAGGACCTCAATAGACATTTTTCAAAAGAGGAAATCCAAATGGCCAACAGACACATGAAAAAATATTCAAGATCACTAGCAATCAGGGAAATGCAAATCAAAACCACAATGAGTTTCACCTCACCCCGGTTAGAATGGCTCACATGCAGAAATCTACCAACAACAGATGCTAGAGAGGATGTGGGGAAAAAGGGACACTAACCCACTGTTGGTGGGAATGCAAACTGGTTAAGCCACTATGGAAGTCAGTCTGGAGATTCCTCAGGAACCTGAATATAACCCTACCATTCAACCCAGCCATCCCACTCCTTGGAATTTACCCAAAGGAAATGAAATTGGCAAACAAACAAGCTGTCTGCACATTAATGTTTATTGCAGCTCAATTCACAATAGCTAGACCTGGAACCAACCCAAATGCCCATCAACAGTAGACTGGATAAAGAAATTATGGGACATGTACTCTATAGAATACTATACAGCAGTCAAAAACAACGAAATCCGGTCATTTGCAACAGATGGAGGAATCTGGAAAACATTATGCTGAGTGAATTAAGCCAGTCCCAAAGGCACAAATATCACATGTTCTCCCTGATCAGCGACAACTAACTGAGCACCAAAGGGGAAACCTGTTGAAGTGAAATGGACACTATGAGAAACAGTGACTTGATCAGCTCTTGTCCTGACTGTTGATGTACAATGTAATACTTAATCCATTTTAGTATTTTCTCTTTGTTTTGTTCTAGTACTACTGGTTGAACTCTATGATTAACACACAATTATTCTTAGGTGTTTAAATTTAACTGAAAAGTGATCCCTATTAAATATAAGAGTGGGAATAAGAGAGGGAGGAGATGTATAGTGCAGCACATGCTCAATCGGACTTGCCGCAAATGGCAGAGTTAGAAACGTGCCAGGGTATTCCAATTCAATCCCATCAAAGTGGCATGTACCAATGCCATCTCACTAGTCAAAGTGATCAGTTTCAGTTCACAATTGATCATAATGACAGGACTAAGAGTCAAAGGGATCACACAACAAGTCTAGTGTCTGCTAATACTAGCTGATAGAATCAAAAAGGGAGAGAACGATCCATCATGGGAAGCGGGATACACAGTAGACTCATAGAATGGCAGATGTCCTAAATAGCACTCTGGTCTCAGAATCAGCCCTTAAGGCATTCGGATATGGCTGAAGAGCCCATGAGAGTATTTTAGGCATGGAAAGCCAAGACACCCTGGGGAAAAAAAAAAAGGAAGACCTAAATGGAAGATCTCTGCGAGTGAGATCCCAGTGGAAAGAACGGGTCATCAAAGAAGGAGGTACCTTTCTCTGAAGGGAGGAGAAAACTTCCACTTTAACTATGACCCTGTCGAATAAGATCGAAGTTGGCGAACTCAAAAGGCTTCCATAGCCTTGGCAACTCATGACTAGAGCCTAGGGAGCTTACTGACACCATAAACGAGAGTGTCAAATTGTTAAGTCAACAACAGGAGTCACTGTGTACTTACTTCTCATGTGGGATCAGTCCTTAGTGTGTTGTCCAATGTGAAGTAATGCTATAACTAGTACTGAAACAGTATTTGCACTTCGTGTTTCTGTGTGGGTGCAAACTGATGAAATATTTACTTAATATATACTGAATTGATCTTCTGTATATAAAGAGAATGAAAATGAATCTTGATGTGAATGGAATGAGAGAGGGAGTGGGAGATGGGAGGGCTGTGAGTGGGAGGGAAATTATGAGGGGGGAGCCATTGTAATCCATTAACTGTACTTTGAAAATTTATATTTACTAAATAAAAAAAAAGAATCTGAAATAGAGCAAAATAAGCCAAAAGCAAGAGAGGGAAGAAAATATAAAAATAATTGCAGTATGAAGTGGAATTGAAAACAGTAAACAATATGGAAACTTAATTAAACTAACAGAAGTTTATTTGAAAGATCATTAAAAATGACAAATCTCAAGCAAGATTGACCAAAAGAGAAGACATAATTTGCCACTATTAGGATTGGAACTATTACTACAGACCCTGAAGATAAAAAGGATAACAAGAAAACCATGAAGAATTCCATGTACTATGTTTCTCATTTTAAATGGAATGCACCAATTCTTCTAAAATCAAAAACTACTCACAAGTCACTCAATATGAAATAAATAGATTGAATAGCTCTAAAAATATCGAGTAATTCATTTCATAATATTGCGATTCCCAAAAATGGAATTTCTAGGCAGAGATTTATTGGAGAATTCTATGAGGTGCTAAAGCAAAAATTAATACTCATTCTGTACAATAACTTCCCTAAAATAGAAGAGAATACTTTCCAATTCATTTTATTCAAATTCCAAAACCAAACAAAAGCAGTGCAAAAATAAAACTACAGACCAATATTCCTTATGAATATCGATGCAAAAATCCTTAACAAATATTAACAAATATAAAGTAGCACGATGTAAGAGAAATTATACACTCTGACTAAATGGGGGTTTATTCCATAGATAAAAAGCTGGTCCAAGACCTGAACATCAAACAACGTAATCCCAAATTATTTACAGGTCAAAGAAGGAATTCACATGATCGTATAATTCAATGCATAAAAGGTTTTGAAAAAATTCAATGCTATTTTTGATAAAACATCTCACACATGTAGGAATAGAAGAACACTTCCTCAACTTGAAAAAGGACATCTATAAAAAGAGGGAAACCTAGCACTGTGGTACACATGGTACACATTTGGTCTAGTAGTTATAATGCTGGTTAGTACACCTGTGTCCCATATCCAAGAGCCTGGATTCAAGTGCCAGTTCCATCTCCTGACCCCAGCTCCCTGACAGTGCAGACCCTGGAAGAAAGCAATGAAGCCTGAAGTAACTGGGTCTCTCCTACTCCCAGTGTGCAAGACCTGGACTGAGTTCCCAGCAAACAGCTTTGGCCTTGGTGGAATCTTGGCCATTTGGGCTTTGGGGAAGTGAACCAGCATATGAGAGCTCTGTCTTTCTCTCAAATTAAAATATACGAAAAAAAAAAAAAAAAGAAGAAGAAGAAGAAATGGTAGAGAGTTGGGTTTTTTCAGGAGAGTGGTGATTTGAGCTCACCCCTAGGATGAGAGAAGCGAATCACCCTGGCAGAGGCTGAAGAGACCCAAGAGGGAGAAGGACACTGATGGAACAAGACCCAGAGCACCAGAAAGAAATGGGCTCAAGGGCTTACATACCAAAGTGCTTCTTCCTCAGTTACTGGGTGACCTGGTGACAACCACAATCAGGAAGCCAGTCTAGTCACATGAGATGCTGATAATTCTTTAACATTGGTTCTATATGTTCTCTTTTGATACTTGGACATAAATATCTCCAAAAGAATAATATTCATATTTTCTGTGTCCAGTGGTTTGGTCTTAGATGGGTATCGCATTTCTGGATCTCTGAGGTTAGAATGCTGTGATGGTTGCAATTACCTCTCTTTGGGGATATTCTCCTCAGGGCTTCAGCCTACCCTGGGATGAACAGGGAAAAGAGGAAATTCGGTCCTTGTGCCCCTAATGCTCACACAGTCTCCTTCCAGGTCCTGCAAATTTAAACAAAAGGAAAGATGCTCATGTCTGAGGAAACACATCCTGTAATCACTACTTCTTCAGGCTGGTGGCTGAAACACGGCTCAATTAGAACTAAAAGCATGATTGAAGTCTAACTTATATTATGCCCATTCATTCAATCATTATCTCGTGCCTTTTAGCATACACTTGCTGGGTTTTTTTTAAATTTTCACTTTCCCAAAATTTGCTTTCCTTATCCCATCACTGGTCACTACAAGGCACTTTTAGTTCTATATTCTTTCCAAAAAAAAAAAAAATCATTCTTTTCAAACTTCTGAAGAAAACCTATTAAATTCATCATAAAATACCAAATACATCATTCTGAAATATACGATTTTTGACAGTCAGAAAGGAAAGAGAGTTGGATAAGGGAGGAGACAATGTCATAAAAACAGGCAAATTTTTAAGACTTTAACTTACTTATCAGGCTATTTATAGGATATATATAGTGTCATAGTTTAAGCATATTTTTGGAAACTAAGAATCCACATTAATTAATTTTCTATAAACTGAAAGTTTACTCTTATAATATTGAAAAACTGTATAATTATTGACTATTTGGCAGGAAAACTTTCCTAAAATATATTGCCTGCCCCAAAGCCTAGTGCAATGGGACTGCTAACCTTCTCTCAGTGGCTGAAGTTTGGTTATCTGGGTCTCTGCTGTGATAACCCCAACACTGGTTGTCCAGGGCTGCTTGCCTGGAACTCGGTGGCCTCAGGCAATAATGCTTTTCATAGCACGTTGCTATTCTGTATAGAATTTATCTCTTATACACAGCCATGAGAACACAATGAGAACATTTACTCTTCTGTTAAACGTAATTATAATTACTTGGTCATCTGGATTTCCAGCCTAGTACAGATAAGAAGCATCTGGATGGGTCAGCAGCAGAGACAAGCCACGGTGGTCCCAGTGTCTGTTTCTGGCAGGGATCCCATCGAAATCTCTGCTCCAAGTCCATGTGGACTAAGTACAAGGCCCTGTGCTCAATGCAGCAATAAAAGTAGTAGTGACTTAAATTGTATAGAATTCCATATATCATATCTCATTCATTCTACCATTTCATTCCCACAGAAAGTCTATGAGAGACGAAAATAACATTTGTTGAACAGCTGCTATGTGCCAGGCACAGTGTTCAGCTTGTGTTAGTCATTTTATTCATTCATTCAATAAAGTTCTACTAATGGGTTACTCTGCGCCAGGCACCCTCCTAAGCCCAGGATATACCACAGGGAGTAAAACAGTGAAAACCTCTTCCCATGTGTAGCTTGTATCTTAATGGAGATACATTATACCAACAGCCAAATAAATAAATACATGGAGCATCCAAAGAAAGATGTGCCTTGGAGAAAAATAAATAAATGGAGAGGGAAGTAGGGAGCACCAAGGATACAAGATGAGATCCATGCTAAGTGGGGTTGTTGGGAAAGGAGAAGGTGACATCTGAACAAATATCCAGGTCAGGAAGAGATCAGGAACCATTCAAGCAGAATATCTAGGGGAAGAGCATCCTGGTTAAAGAAAATAGCAAGTGCAAAGACCCTGAATAGATGTGGCTTAAGTAGAGTGATCAAGGGGAAGAGTAGTGAGTGACAAGAGCAAGGATTCTCCATGGTCATTGAGAGGACATTGACTTCAGTTCTGAAGCAGAAAAAAGCATTTGAGATTTAGGAACAGCGAAGAGTTAAGATGCGACTTACATTTAAAAACGAGCCTGTTGATTGCTGTGATGAGAACAGACAAAGGGAGCAAAAATGAAAGAAGGGAAACTAGTTAGGAGGTCCTTACCTTAATGCAGGTGACAGATGGCAGAACCTTGGACTAGGAGAGTTGTGATGGAGATGAGAAGGGTTTAGAGGACTTGGTGATGGATCAGAAGTAGGATTTGAGAGAAAATGAAGATTCTGGGACCCTTGCAAGGTTTGTGGCCTGATCAACTGAAAGAACAGTGTTGCTCTTGGCTGAAGTGAATACAACCATAGGAGATGATTTGGAAGGAAGTGTGGTGATTTTTGTTTTAGACCTGTTGACTTTGAGATGGCTCTCACACATTTAAATGAATGCATTGAGGAGGCAGTGGCTGTAGGCACTTGACATTCAACAGAATTATGAGCTATAGATAAAATTTAGGCATTTTTCTTTTTTAAAAAAATTTCAATTTATGTAAGGTGAACAAGTTTCATGTATACAGAAATTTTCATATATACAGATTTAAGAGCACAGTGATACTTCCCACCCTCTCCTCTCTCCTGCCCATGCTCTCACCCTCTCTCCTCCTTCCTTATTTTTTCTTTTAATTTTTACAATGGCATACTTTCAGTATGTTTTATAATCACAAGCTTAACCCTCCACTAAATAAAGAATTTAACAAGTAGTAAGTGGAAGAAACCACTGTCGTTCAGGAGTATAAACAAATGAAGTCTCAAAAAGTCAATTTCTCTCATATACTTTACATTTTTTGTGCTCTGTATATTAGTTGCCACAAATCATGGAAAACATTTCCAAGTCTTTTTGTGACTGACGTTTATAGAGAGATTGCATTTAAGTTCATGGGGAGGAAGGTGGCCACTTGGAATAGCAGTTAACTATTTCTTTGAAGATCTACATTTCATATCAGAATGCCTAGAATTCGGTCCCAGCTCTGCACCCAAATCCAGCCACCTGCTAATGTGTACCCTGGGAAGCAGTAGGTGATGGCTCAAGTATTTTCCTTGCTACCCACATGAGAGACTAAGATGGGGTTTCCAGATCATGACTTTAGCCTGGTCAAGCCCTTTGCTGTTATAGTAATTTGGGGAGTAAACTAGTAGATGGGAGATCTCTCTCTCTCTTCCTCCCTCTCTCTTTAAAATAAATAAATGAAAATTAAAGTCATGGGGATAGTGAGATCAGTAGTAGAGCAAGTTTGATGTAACCCCATGTCATATGATGGTCACTAGTCACATATGACTACTCAGCACTGGGAGTGTGGCTATTGTGACTTAGCCAAGGGGAGGGTTAAGTTAGAGAAGAATATGTACAGAACAACAGAGAAAGAGAGGCTGAAAGATGGGAAAGATTTCAGGATTTCTGGGATGCTTGTGAAGACGGAGGCAACCAGGGATATGGGCATAGGAAAATTAATCTGTTTTTCTTAAGAGTGAGAGAAATGGCAAGGTTGGGAGTGTTGTGGGAGAAGCCAGAGGCATGCAGAATGCTGGGTGAAAGTCAAAGTTAAAGTTGGCAAATCCTCTCTGGAGCAGAGAGAACTTTGGACTCCTTTCTTTAACCCCTCGAGAATGTGATTTTGATGTTGTTATTACTAACCCCGTCCTACAGAAGATAAAACCAAAGGTCAGAGATTTAAATAACTTACTCCAGCTCACTAGATTATGGAAACCAGGCCTGGAATTATGCTCTAGGCTCTTGACTCTTGGCCTAGTGCTCCGTACATGGAATAGAGCATGTGACACTCCCCCTGTGGGTCACATCCTTTATAGCTTGTGTCTAAAATCTCACAAACACCTTTTCAGTGTAGATGTCATTACTATTCTCAATTTAGAAGTGAAGAAATTAAATCTGAAATTAAGTCCTTCAACCACATTATGGTGTTCCTTACCAGAAACAGGTTTTATCCTCTCTCCCTCCAACTCTGCCGTTCTAACCATCCCCTGCTGTGTCTTATGCCATCTGTCTGCTTCTCCCCTTTCCATTCTCATTGCTTAGCTTTCATCTGCCAGGCTTTCTCCACTTGCATTTGCCTTCCCACACACCTTGCTCAGTCACTTCAGCAAATGTCAGGTCGGTCTAACTATTATGCTCTACACCAGGCTTCTTCGCAAGGTGACTCTGCAGCTCTTCCCATTGAGAGATGGAACTGGTTTCCCCATCCCTTGAGTCTGGGCTGGCCTTGTGTTGCACTTTGACCATTGCAAAATAGCAAAAGTGACAGTAGGCCAATTCTAAGCCTGAACCTCAGATGACCTTGCTGGTGTGCACCCTGTCGAGGAATCCTACCCTGCTGCCATGTGAACAATCCAGGTTGGTCTTCTGAAGGACTGCAGACCACAGGAACAAACCTGAGCTAACCCAGCCTCGGCCACTGAGATGAGCCTACCCCAGCTGTCCCAGAAGCTAAGTGTTAGACATGCATCAGCCCAGTCAACACCAGATGGGCCTGGACTAGGCCAGGAGAAACCTCCCTCCCCACACCCCTGCCCAGCAATCAACCCAAAGACCCAGAAGCCAAATAAATGATAGTTGTTTTAAGACACTAAGAGTTGAGGTGGTTTATTAGTAACAACTAATGAATAGAGTCCCCTTGCTGTATTTCTCTCTTGCCCACATCAACAGGCCTCCAACTTCACTTTCCCAAAGTTTGAATACTGCTATATTTTTAAAAATTTATTTATTTGAAAGGCAGAATTAGAGAGAGAGAGAGAGAGAGAGAGAAAGAGAGAGAAACTTTGATCTGCTGGTTCACTCCCCTACTAGCCACAGTGGATGGGGCTGGGGCTGGGCCAGGCAGAAGCCAAGAGCCTGGAACTCCATGTGGATCTCCCACATGAGTGCTGGGGCCCAAGCACTTAGGCCATCTTCTACTGCTTTCTTGGGCACATTAGCATAGCACAATTTGACCGAGTGTGAAGTGTGTACCAGGCACATCGTTAATCTCTCCATCTGTGTTAACAGGAGGAGTTAGCATCACAGCTTATCCACAGCTGAGGTCTGAAAGGTTGAATAACTTGCCAGAGTCACACAAGTTAGGTTTTGGGGCTGGGATCTCCTCTGAAGTCAGCACCCACCGCCATTCCCTGCGTTACTGCTCCCCCTGCCCCAACACATGCACACACACACACACACACACACGACTCCCCCATCCCTCCCACCTCATCCTTGCAGAGACGTGGTCTGCCTCTGCAGGCCCCAAAGACAGCTTGCTTCCTAACTGCTCCCCCACAGCGGAGGATGGATTTGCTCGTCTCTGGCTGGGCTGTTTTGTGCAGTGACCAAGGGCACACATTTTGTTAGACATTCGGCCTGAATAAGGGGCTCAGGCCTTTAGTCTGTGGTTGCAGAACAGAGAAAAGCTAACTGACCCATAAGGGGATTGAACTTGTGACCTAGGCTTCGGAGCACCAGGCTCTAACCTCTACACTGCAGACCGGGCACCTCCGGAGGGCTGCTTGCAGGGGGACTGGCCGTGCATTGTAAATCTTCCCCTGCTACTCCCCGAGGCTCCTCCCCATTGCTGAGGATTAAAAAACTGAGGTTCATGCAAGAGCAGAGCAAGAAGAAAATAAATCGTGATTTAAATTCATGCCTCTGGACGCCTAGCTTAGCCCGCTGAACCCCTCTCGCTTCATCTCTGCCACCTCCGTTCCTTGATTTATTTCAAGCGATGGCCCTCTGTGTATGTGTAAAAATCCCCCTGAATGCTTTCCCCTGAGGGCAGTCAATGCGTCTCTCTGAAGTTTAGCGCCAATGCTGATGTGTGCAAAGGGATGAAAAACGGACATTTTCAAGTCTCCCCAAAGCTTCGAGCCAAAAGAAGAAAGAAAAAAAGTTGTCCATTCCCCTTTTTCAGCCCTCACACTTCAAATGCTAATGAAAAGTGTGTTGTCTTGGGCCTTCAATAGGTCTAAAATGCTCTGGTTTGGAAGTATTTGCATACCCTGCTGAATAGGGAGGCGGCCAGCCGAGAGGATTAGAGCCACACATCAACTTCTCCGAAAAGGGGCTGACAGGGCTGAAGAAAATTGAGTGTGGGCAGAGCCTGACTGTAAGGGGGCCTGAGGGGGCGGGATGTCCTCCAGACAATCATCGTTTCCTTCTTTCTCCCTTGAAAATAAAAAATTTAGGGGAGAAAAAGACATAGAATAGGTAAAATAATCCAAGTAAGGGAATTTGGAAAAAGTAACAAAGAAAGGAAAAGAAACAGGGAAACATTCTTAACCAATCACCCCAAATACGTACAAGGGTACTACACAAAGTTTGTGGAAAAGTGAATTGGAAGTTTAGTTTGGTTCAAAAATGGTTTGCAATCCATGCAAATGAGGGGTTTTCAAGGAGTTCATGAAAAATTCGTACTAGGAAAAAACTATGTATGGATTTCAAAAAATTTTTGCATCAGAATAAACATCTTTCAATTCCATTTCCCACAAATTTTTTGAAATATCCTCATGTATTATTTGTTGATTTATTTTATCTATTTGAAAGGTAGAATGATGAAAGAGAGAGACAGAGAAGGAGTGGGAGAGAGAGAAAGAGAGAATATCTTCCATTCACTGGTCCATTTTTCCAAATGGCCCCAGATGAATCCAGGAGCCTGGAACTCCATCAGGGTCTCCCACTTGGGTGGCAGGGACCCAAGTACGTGGACCATCATCTAATGCTTTCCCAGGCACATGAGCAGGGACCTGGATGGCAAGGGCAGCAACTGGGACTCAAACCAGTGTTCCATATGGGATGCTGGCTTCGCAAGCAGCAGCTGAACCACAATACTGGCCTGGTTAATATTTCTAATTTTGCAAATCACTACATGCCTACAGTTTTTTCAATAGCTGGAATTACTTTTTTTCCTGTATAATGATCATTTAACATTGTATCATCAATATTCTCATAGAGTTCTATGTGTTTTATAAAGTATTATTTTTATTGGCTTATGTAGTCTTCCTTTACTGCTTGATGAGTTTCTCTTAGTTACAGTAGCTATCTTCATTCTAATAGCTAATGATTCTATTGCATTATTTCCTTAGTATGCTTCCCTCCAAGGTTTTTCAATTTCCAATGATATAGATGGCTTTATAGCTTTTTTCTATTTTATGAAAGTGTGCATTACCTATTTAGAATGGTATCAGAACTGTGTAGAGTGGGCTCTCAGCCTAGCAATTCAGAAACTCCATCACACATCAAAGTACCTGGGTTCAATGACCACCTCTGGCTCTTGACTCTAGATTGTTGTTAATGTGGACCCCGAGAAGCAGCCAGGAGGGCTCAAGAAATTGGGTTCCTAACACTTGTGTGGGAGGCACAGATTGCGTTACTAGCTCCCAACTTCAGCGCTGGCCCAGATCCAGCAGCTGTGGGCATTAGGGGAGTGAACCAATGGATGGGAGCTCCCTCTCTTTCTCACTCTCTCTCTCTGTCTCTCGAGTAAATAAATATAAATAAATTTTTACAACTGCAAATGTTTCGGTTTCCTTTCAAAGAAGCAATTTGTTCAAGTATTAATTTTTCACAAGTGCTTAAGTTTGAAAGATCTCAACTTTTTAGTGTAATTTTCTAAGGACTTATTTGTTTATTTGAAAGGCATGAGTGACAAGAAGAAAAAGATCTTTTATCTACTATTTTACTCCTAAAATGCTCACAACAGCCAGAAATGGGCCAGGCTGAAACTAAGAGCCTGGAACTCCATCCTGGTTTCCCACATGGGTGGCAGGGGTGTAAGTACTTGGGCCATCTTCCACCACTTTTCCAGGTGCATTAGCAGGAAACTGAGTTGAAAGTGAGGTAGCTAATGCCTATTTGTTTGGTCAGTAACCAGGATTAAAATATTTTTGGGGCCAGTGCTGTGGCATAGCAGGTAAAGCTGCTGCCTGTGGTGCCAGCATCCCATATGGGCGCCGGTTCAAGTCCTGGCTGCTCTACTTCTGATCCAGCTCTCTGTTATGGCCTGGAAAAGCAGTAAAAGACAGCCCAAGTCCTTGGGCCCTTGCACTCGCACTCATGTGAGACACCTGGAAGAAACTCCTGGCTCCTGGCTTTAGATCAGCCTAGCTCTGGCCATTGAGGCCATTTGCACAGTGAACCAGCAGATATAAGACCTCTCTCTCTGCCTCTGCCTTTCAAATAAATAAATCTTAAAAATATGTTTTCATTTGCTTTCTACTTTGTCTCTAGAACTGCTTATTCATGCCTATGACCTACTTACCTATGGGGTGTGAACTTCTATGAACTTGCATGAATCTTTACAAATTATATCATGAACACTTCAATTTCAAATACATTATTCCTCTGTTGCTGTTTTCCTGTAGCTGCATTCTTTATCATTGAATCTTTATATTTTCCACCAATCTTTAATGACCTCAACAAGTATTTCATATGGAACATTGAGCTGTGTTCCCAAAACAGTGGATCAACCTTGTCCTGAATCTGAAAGTAAAGGAATCAATGAAGGGCATGAGATAACTGTAAAAAAGAAATTAAAAAGAACGCATCTCCTTGCTTAATTCCCTGAAGCCCATGACATACATGCCTTTCTTTATGTAAGAGATCTCAGCAAATACCAGCCCACTGGATCCCTGCAAGAAGTCTGATTTGCAGCTCTCAGAATCTTGCTGTGTAGACAGCAATTGTGAAGAATCATTACTTCAGCCATCCTTTTGCCAAAATAGTTTATAGAAAAGAAGTCAATAATCTTGTACTAAAATATTTTGCTTGTAGTGAACCACAGATGAACTCATTAAAGATCATTTTCCTTCATTGCTTAGAATAAAGACTATTACCAGCTGCATGAAAAATGCATTAGATTTCTCTCAATCTTTTGCCATTATAATGTTATAGATGACTTGAGAAAACATTCAAATCTAAAAAGGAGATGAATTGGGCATCTCATCTTTTTTCTTTTCTGAATTTTAGTGTTGAATTTTCTATCAGGAGGCCAAAATAGTTCAAAGAATCCATTTCTCTCATTATGGAAATACAAGCACACAGACACACATACACATGCACACACATATACATGTATGTATATTCCCAAATGTACTATCTTGTGACTTTTTGTACATCATAAAAATTATTCTCTATAGAAGCATTCCTTTACTTTAGAAATTTTCTAAAGAGGATTTTTATCCTTGTTAAAAGCTGTTGAACTTCTATCCAAGTCTTTCACAAAGCTTTATAAATTTATTACTTGGCTATTATGCACCTATACAGCAATCCACCCACCTAACTAAGGATTAGTTGACCAGGTGTTTGTGCATCACTACATGTTCTTGGCACCCATAATGCTTGGTGTTTTCTCCTAGGGAATTCAAGGCCACAAACAGATATTTCCTGCTCTCCAGGAAATTAAAAGATAAGTCAAAATAAATGGTAAAATATGACACCTATTTAATTAGTGATAAGAAGGAGAGATATAGGGCAGCACTGCTCAATATGTAGCCCATGGACTGGTACCAGTCTCCAAACTCTTTGCTCTGGTTTGACGTTATATAAATACAGAAATTAAGAATAAGCATTTAGAAACTTTCAAGTAATTTGATAGAAGTATTTTATGCTTGTTGAATGTAATAACTGAATTCCGTTAGTGTATTTTTCTGTTTCATTTTGTTAAATTTTTTATATAGTTATTCTTTTTTTTTTTTTTTTTTTTTTGACAGGCAGAGTGGACAGTGAGAGAGAGAGACAGAGAGAAAGGTCTTCCTTTGCCGTTGGTTCACCCTCCAATGGCCGCCGCGGCCGGTGCACCGCGCTGATCCGATGGCAGGAGCCAGGTACTTATCCTGGTCTCCCATGGGGTGCAGGGCCCAAGTCTTAAGCCATCCTCCACTGCACTCCCGGGCCACAGCAGAGAGCTGGCCTGGAAGAGGGGCAACCGGGACAGAATCTGGCGCCCCAACCGGGACTAGAACCCGGTGTGCTGGTGCTGCAAGGAGGAGGATTAGTCTAGTGAGCCGCGGCGCCGGCTATATAGTTATTCTTATTGTGGATTCCAAAAACATAAGTATATGAATGATGGCAATTTTTTTAAAGGAAAACCTGATCCTTTGCTCTGAGCAATATTGGAACAGACCACATGGGCACACAAACACACTTACAAGGGGACTTCAAAATGCTCATGGGGCCAGCGCTGTGGCTCACTTGCCTAATCCTCTGCCTGCGGTGCTGGCACCCGGGGTTCTAGTCCTGGTTGGGGTACCAGATTCTGTCCCGGTTGCTCCTCTTCCAGTCCAGCTCTCTGCTGTGGCCTGGGAAGGCAGTGGAGGATGGCCCAAGTTTTGGTCCCTGAACCCACATGGGAGACCAGGAGGAAACACCTGGCTCCTGGCTTTGGATCGGCACAGCGCGCTGTCAGTAGTGGCCATTTGGGGGGTGAACCAATGGAAAGGAAGACCTTTCTCTCTCTCTCTCTCTCTCTCTCTCTCTCTCTCTCTAACTCTCCCTGTCAAAAAACAATTAAAAATTTAAAAAAATGCTTATGGAAGAAAATGAAACTAAAAGATAAATTTGAGATTTCTGAATCTCTTCCCATTCAGGGTAATAGTGACAGCTGAGGTACTAAACATTGGTTAAAAACAACAACAAAAACATAAACAAAAACTACACAACTCCATGAGGGTAGAAAGAACAAGAAAAGTCATTCTGAAGTCCAAGGACAAGATTACAGCAGGAAATGCAGCTAGAAAGAATCTTCTAGAAAGAAACACTGCAATCTTAAATATAATTATTAGTTGTATTTTTTGTTATTAAAAGAATGAGGTATCAAAACTGATTGAAACAGGTTGTCTATGATAACAGAAAGCACAAACAAACAAGGGTAGCCATCATAATATCAGACTAGGTTTCAAGACATACTACGGGGCAATTATTAAAACAGACTGGTACTGGTGCAAAAATAGATATGTAGACCAATGAAACAGAATAGAAACTCTAGAAATCAATCCACACATCTACAACCAACTAATCTTTGACAAAGGAGCTAATATCAATCCCTCTAAAAAGGATAGTCTCTTCAACAAATGGGTGCTGTGAAAATTGGATATACACATGCAGTATGAAACAAGACCTATACCTTACACCTTAAACAAAAATCAATTCTAAATGGACCATAAGTCTAAATCTATGACCTGATACCATATAATTACTAGAGGAAAGGACCCCAGAAGCAAAGACAATACAAGCAAAAATAGACAAATGGGATTAAATTAAACTAAGAAGTTTCTGCACTGCAAAGGAAACACTCAACAAAGTAAAGAGACAACCGAGAGAATGAGAGAAAATATTTACAAACTATGCAACTGATAGAGGTTTAATATACAATATCAACAAAACAAACAATCCAGTTAAGAAATGGGTAAAGGATTTGAACAGGCATTTTTCAAGAGAGGAAGTTCAAATGGCCAACAGACACATGAAAAAATGCTCAGGATCACTAGCCATCAGGGAAAGCCAAATCAAAACCACAATGAGGTTTCATTTCACTCCGGTTAGAATGGCTCTCATATAGAAATCAACAAACAACAAATACTGGTGAGGATGTGGGAAAAAAGGTACCCTGATCCACTATTTCTGGGAATGTATACCGGAACAGCCATTGTGGAAGATAGTGTGGAGATACCTCAGAAATCTGAAAATAGACCTACCAAATAATCCAGCCATCCCACTCCTGGGAATTTACCCAAAAGAAATAAAATCAGCATATGAAAGCGTTATCTGTACCCCATATTTATTGCAACTCAATTCACAATAGCTAAGATATGGAATCAATAGATGCTTGTCAACTGAAGACTGTTCCTAAATTTGTATAAATGAAATGCATGAAGTTTATATACCTTAAATAAAAGGTTTCTAGGAAAAAAAGACACAATTAATAGAGATTGAGTTGAACCAGTTTTTTAATTATTTAAAACTTTATTGTAAAGCAGTTATTCTATTCATGATCAGTTTTTTTAGAAATTCTTAGAAGAGAAATTGAAACTACAAAATTCAGTTGGAAATTTGTAACTTAAAAATGTATGCAATGAAAAGTCAGTAGAGTAACAGATTGGAGATGAAAAAAGATCATTAATTTAAAGGTAAATCAATAGAAATATTCTAATATGAAGAAATAAAAAAGTTTAAAAATAAATAGAGCCACACAGACTTATATGGCCACAACAAAAATTTTAACATGTGTGTAATTAAGTTCCAGAGAAACAGAAAGATTGAACAGGACATAGAAATATTTAAAGATATGATGGCTGAAAATTTTTCAAATTTGTGAAAGGTACAAATTTACAGATTTAAGAAACTTAGCAAACACCAAACAGGATAAAAAGAAGAAGAAAATCACATCTGAGGATATCAAAGTTCAAAGTTTTTGATGCAAACCAAAAATATAAAAAATATTTTGGAGGATGTCCAATGAAAATGATTTATTATATACACAGGAACATGAAAGTACAACATTAATTAATAACAGACTGTGAAATGTTAAGGGTGTATGTAGTATTTCATAGTAAATACTAAAAAAATAATGTGAAGAGGTAAAAGTTGAAAGTCAATGGATTAACATGGGAAATGAGATACTCAGCAGACTCATAGAATGGCAGATGTCCTAAATAGCACTCGGGCCTCAGAATCAGCCCTAAAGGCACTCGGATCTGGCTGAAAAGCCCATGAGAGTATTTCAGGCATGGAAAGCCAAGACACTCTGGCAAAAAGATCTCTGTGAGTGAGATCCCAGTGGAAAGAACAGGTCTTCAAAGAGGGAGGTGCCTTTCTCTGAAGGGAGGAGAGAACCTCCACTTTGACTATGACCGTGTCTAAACAAGATAAGAGTCAGAGAACTCAAGGGGCTTCCATAGCCTTGGAAACTCATGACTGGTGCATAGGGAGATTACTGATGCCATAGACAGGAGTGTCAATTGGTAAAGTCAACAACAGGAGTCACTGTGCACTTACTCCTCATGTAGGATCTCTGTCCTTAATGTGCTGTACATTGAGGCTTAATGCTATAACGAGTACTCAAACAGTATATTTCACTTTGTGTTTTTATGGGGGTGCAAACGATTGAAATCTTTACTTAATGTACACTAAACTGATCTTCTGTAAAAAAAAAAAAAGAAAGAAATTATCAACTCCCAACTTGACTCTCACTGGGATTAAACATGACAATAGGTCTGATCTGATTTCATTATCATTTAAAAAAAATCATCTATTATTTTTCACTTTATGTTTCTGTGTGGGAGCAAACTGTTGAAATCCTTACTTAAGGTATACTAAGCTGATCTTCTGTATATTAAGATAATCGAAAATGAATCTTGATGTGAATGGAAGGGGAGAGGGAGTGGGAAAGGGGAGGGTTGTGGGTGGGAGGGACGGTATGGGGGGGGGGAACCATTGTAACCCATGAGTCGTACTTTGGAAATTTATATTCATTAAATAAAAGATAAAAAAAAAAGAAAGTCAATGGATTAGATGACTGGATGAAGAAAATGTGGTACGTATACAGCATGGAATACTACTCAGCCACAAAAGAGAATGAAATCCTTTCTTTTGCAACAAAATAGATGCAACTGGAAATCATATGCTTAGTGAAATAAGCCAGTCTCAAAAAGACAAATATCATGTTTTCTTTTATATGTGTCAGTTAATATAGAATACAAAAATGTGCAGGAATGAAACAGACATTTTGTGATTTGATTGCTGTTTTTAGCCCTTTTTTATACTCCTGTGGAACTACTGTATTCCTATTTTTACTTGTCAAATATTATGGTAGTAAGGAATTAAACCTGTGAATACAGAGTGGATTAAAATTATGTCTGCAGAAACTGATGAAAGAAAGAGAGGGGCGACAGGGAGGGAGATTGTGGGGGTTGAGGAGATGTGTTATCTTGGAACTGAACTGTACATATAGAATGGATGAAATGTGTTCTCTTTATATTAATAAAAAATTTTAAGCCTTTAAAATGTGTTGAAAAGAATTAGTATAGAGGAAACAGAGGAGAATAATAGAAGTATAAAATAGAAAAAGGCAGTAAAATAGTAAAACAAAATGTAACTATATTAATATTCATTTAAATATTAACGAGCACCAAATTTCCAATTAAAAGGCAAGGGCAGTCAAAATAAATTTTTTTTTTCACAGGCAGAGTGGACAGTGAGAGAGACAGAGAGAAAGGTCTTCCTTTGCCATTGGTTCACCCTCCAATGGCTGCCGCGGCCGGCACGCTGCGGCCGGCGCATCACGCTGATCCAAAGCCAGGAGCCAGGTGCTTCTCCTGGTCTGCCATGCGGATGCAGGGCACAAGGACCTGGGCCATCCTCCACTGCACTCCTGGGCCATAGCAGAGAGCTGGCCTGGAAGAGGGGCAACCGGGACAGAATCCGGCACCCCGATCGGGACTAGAACCCGGGGTGCCGGCGCCACAAGGAGGAGGATTAGCCTAATGAGCCGTGGCTTCGACCTCAAAATAGATTTAAAAAGCTAGTTCCAATGATTGTTAACTACAAAAGAAACGTTTTAGATATAAAAGCATGTGTGTGTTTGTGTGTGCATGTGTATACATGTTGAAAAATAAAAACATAGAAATAGACATACTACATCAACAATAAGCAGAAGACAATGGAAAGGATATATTAAACACCTAGCTTAGAAACCCTTAACACACTCCTGAACCAGCTTGAAATGCAGCCATAGTTTCTTTTTTTTTTTTTTAAGGTTTTATTTATTTATTTGAGAGGTAGAGTTACAGACAGTGAGAGGGAGAGACAGAGAGAAAGGTCTTCCCTCCACTGGTTCACTCCCCAAATGACCACAACAGCTGGAACTGAGCCAATTTGAAGCCAGGAGCCAGGAAGTTCTTCCAGGTCTTCCATGTGGGTGCAGGGACCCAAGGACTTGGGCCATCTTCTATTGCTTTCCCAGGCCATAGCAGAGAGCTGGACTAAAAGAAGAGCAGCCAGGACTAGAACTGGCACCCATATGGGATGCCGGCACTGCAGGCAGAGGATTAATTTATTGCACCACAGTGCCAGCCACAAGCCAGGCATAGTTTCCTGAACCAAGCCTTTTATTGCATAGTAGGTTTCTCCAGAGAAACAGAACTTATAGGATGTCTACCTACATATAAAGAGATTTATTATAAGGAATTAACTCATGAAATTATGGAGGCTTCAAGTCTAAATCTGCAGGATGAGGCCAGCAGGCTAGAGACCCAGGAAAGCAGTGGAGAAGTTCCAGCCCAGGGACCCAGGACAGCCAAGGGTACAAAGGAAATCAGCAGCTGGAGGAGTCTCTTACACAAGTCCCATCCTTTTTGTTGTAAGCATGCCTTCAACTGATTGGGTGAGGCCCATTCGCCTTATATTAAATGAAATGCCACCAATTTAAATGTTAACCTCATCTAACACTTCCTCCACGTGGACACACAAAATGAGCCAGCGGATGTTATCATCCATATCTTCACTGTTTTGAGAGACTTATTACCTGGAAGGGCCTGTGGAGTCCGGCAGGTATGAGTTTCAATCCCGATGCTGCAGGAGTTCAGACAAGTTTATTAAGCCCTTGGAAGCTCATTTGCTTCATTTGTGTGAGTAAAATAGCAACACAGTTGCTAAAGGGATAAAAATACGTACTTCACCTACCACAAGGTCTGTCACATGGAGGACATTTTAAAAAATGTTAGATCCTTTCCCTCCTTGTTCCTCATGTTCGGTAGTTTTTAAATGCCGACAGCATTAACTTTGGAGGCTTGTCTTTTATCTTCTTCGTGGATTAATTAGTTGGAACCCAATAAAAACATTTTGGAAGTAGTTCAACTAAAAGAAAGGTACAGGAAATGAGCAGGGTTATAATGTTCTAAGAGGCACTCTCACATACTTCTTTCAAGAGGAAATTGGGCTCAGCTGAGCCTCGTTTGGAAGGCATCGTGAACTGGCTCGACACCTGTGGATGGCTGCCCACTGATTTCTTTGCACAGTAGCTGCCTCTTACTGCTACTTCACCCATCACTTCTGCCCCTCCTTCCATTAGGTTTGCATTTAGTTTTGGCTTGACCACAGGACTGACTCTGCCCGCGTTGCCATGACCTTAACATTCTCAAACAGTCGGAGTCTGACTTGTAGGCCGGCCAATAGATTTTCTAACATTGATTCGAGTGCCCATCCTGGTTGAACCAGAGGTGTAACATCTTTGGGAGCTGGATCAGAAGTGGAGCAGCCAGGACTCGAACAAGGGTCCATGTGGGTTGCTGGCATTGCAGCCAGTGGCTATACTCATTACGCCCCGGTGTCAGCTCCATCGTCCCATATTTTAGTTTGCATTGCTACAACCAAATACCAAAGACTGAGTGACTTCAGAAACAGCAATTTATTTTTCACAGTTCTGGAAAGTCTACAATCAAGGTGCCCAGTGGATTCAGTGCCTGGTGAGAGCCTTCCTCTGCTTTGTAGATGGCCATCTTCTGGTTATGTCCTCCCAAGGCCTTTACTTGGTGTAGCCACGGAAGAAATGGAGGGGCTGGTGTTGTGTGCAGTGGGTTAAGCTGCTGCCAGCAAAGCCACGCTCCCAGTTAGAGTTTTGGATGCTCCTCTTCCAGTCCAGTCCCCCGATAATATAGCTGGGACAGCAGCAGATGTCCCACTTGCTTGGGCCCTGACAACTCACATTGGGAGACCCAGATAGAGTTCCTGGCTCCTAGCTTCAGCTTGGCCCAGCCTTGGCAATTGTGACCATTTGGGGAGTGAAACAACAGATGGAAGATTGCTCTCCCTCTCTTTTTGTAGTTCTCTCTGTTGTTCTTCCTTTCAAATAAATAGATGAATATTTTTAAAGGAAAATAGAGAAGTGAGGGGGGGAGGAATGAAGTTGGAGAGGGAAGGGAGAGGGGCACAGAGAGAGAAATTTGATGCTATCTCTTCCCCTTTTTTATAAGGGCAATAATCCCATCATAAGGGCCACACCCTCATGGCCTCTACCTCTATGCAGCTCTAAAGACCCCACCACTAAATACTATACCTTTGGGGTTATGATTTCAACATATGAATTTGGGGGACACAAACATTCAGTCCATAGAGCACCCCCTTCCCATCTCCCTCACTTTCTTGCCTACAAATCCTGGCTGTTTTTTCTTTACATTGTGAGAGGTTGAGTACTCTTCACCTTCCTGGAGAGATTTTCCTTCCAGAGAAGAAAATTCTGTTTTCTCAATAGAACTATATTTTATTTCCTCAGTTCATTGACATTCTTTTTAATAAGATCTCCTTTAAATGTTTAAAACTTACATTCTCCCAGGAGACAGAGCCTTGTTGGCTTACTTTCCTGCATATTGCTGTGCTGTTTAACTGTGGCATCTTGTCATTGCTCACATGCTGCCAGGGGTCCTGGGAAATTGGGCCATACTGGACGCTTAACATTGCCAGTATCTCATTCTCTTCTCATCAAATCATAACCCCCTCTCCTCTACTGATTATGCAAAATAGCTATTCCAAGATGATATGGAAATGGAATTTAAGGAACTATTTGGTAAATTTTATTAATTTCTGTAGTCAGTCCAGATTATTTGGGAGAGAAAGAAAACATTTGTCTTTCTCAAAGGCTTCATTTTGGTCTAAGTTTTGCCTTTCACATCTTTGTATCTTTCTTTTCCTTGATGGGCACACCTATTTGTTTTCTTGAATCATAGCGTATTGTAATTTTTTAGTGTTAGCCACTATTTTTATTGGGAAGAAGATTTCATGTGTAATGTTATTCATTCTAGAGTGTGCAAGACCAACAATGAATCTGGCATTTTTGCTGTATAAGATCAGAGGTTAGAGGATGTGATCTGCATACTATGCGAATGTATTTTTAATGTTTCTTTGTAAGCTTCATAAGGCTTGACCTCTTCTCTTTCAATATCGTGGCTGGGTCTGAGATAGGTTAATTCACTTAGGAATCCACTGTCTTTCCTGAAGGAGTCCGAAGAGTTCACCAAGACTGGCCAAATACTGATATGTTATTGACACTGCTGTGCATTTGTGTAATTGGACTCATTTATCAATCTTAGCTGGGGCACTGAACTAACTTAGAGACTAAATTATCTCTGACCCTCAGCACCAGATGGCAAGTTCCTGTGAAGGTGGGGAATATTGTCTCCCATCATTACGGGAAAGTTATCTCCACACCTGCCAAAGCCAATGCTCTGGTAGATAACAAAAGGACGGACTGCCTTCCTCCCACCAACCCACAGCCCCAAACAAACACTCCAAAGCCAGAATCACATTTAGCGTGAAATGTAGAAGTTATCACTACCTTTGCTTGCAAAGCCATTTGAACTGAAATCTCTCAAATACTAACTTTGTACATTTTCAAAAAGAAAAATGAGGTGAGCTATCGTTTTCCAACCAGGTGCTTAAGTAAGTCTTTTTTTCTTGTTGTCATGCTGAAACAGTATGGCCAAAAGCAGAGAAGAAAGGGGAAACAGCCTTGTGTAAGTTTATCAGAGTATTATTAAGAAGGAGAAATTGCTTTGCATCAAAGGTGGCTATTTAAGGTGCCTGTATAATGTTTCTAAAAGGGATAATGAAAGGTTTGGGCAAGTTCTACTTTCAGACTAGTGGGATTTTTTTTATTTGCATGTATATATTAAAATATACACACTCAAGATATTTAGTTATACTCACTTTCTACTTAATAATGATGATTGGTTGAAGGGATATAAAAATGGAAAAGATAAAGCCTTGTTCTAAAGGAATGTATTTTGGAGAAATCATTAAATCATATTTTGATGCATAGAATATTACTTAAAAAACTGTCATTGTGATAACATGTTTTTGTAATTTATAGACCTTTTATTCTCAACCAAAAATACTAAATATAAGTGCTTTCAGGGTTATTCAAGAATGGGATTTCATAGCAGACATATGTTGATTTTGAATTTTTCATAGTTCTATCTATAGCATCTTGCTTTCTTATTTGAGAGGGAGAGAGAGAGAGAAAGTAAGTAGACAGATAAAGAAAGCTCCTATCCACTGATTCACTCTCCAATGCTTGCAATGGCTGGGGCTGGGCTGGGGTTGAAGCCAGGAGCTGGGAACTCGACCTGCATCTCCCAAGTGGATGACAGGAACCCAGTCAGTGGAGCTACCACTGCTGCTTTTTATGGTCTGCATGAGCAGGGAACCAGAGTTAAAAGTGGAAGTTGGGTACCAAATCTATTTACTTCAATGCATGATGTGGGATCTTAACTGCTAGGTCAAATGCCCACCTAAACACCCTATCATTGTTTAAAAATAATATGTTTCATCATTTTCTGTTGGCTGTATTAAATTAATAAGAAAATAGTACCTGAAGCCTGAGAAAACGTGGACTTCAGTGCAGCCAGACCTGCAGTTGTCTCTTGGTTTCAGCTGTGACTTAGTGGGTGATGGGAAATCACATTAACTCTCGAATCTTTGCTGTCTTCACCTGCTGAAAAAGAATAACAAACCTTAGTTGTCAAGGTTCCTTGTAAGAGTTACATATGAGGCCACATTTCAAAATCACCAAGGACTGTAAATGGTCCTATGAATATAAAAAGAATTAATGGTCAGATTTTGCACTGTACAAAAGTTGGTCATTATCATAGGCCAAGTTAATCAGAGTTCTCAGACAAATAGACACTTTGTCAAATCCAACTCTAAAGAATCATCTTCAAGGACTTTCACATTTTTTAAATGCAATATATGAATGATCAAGAGATTTTTTCCACCTAAAATAAATAAATTCAAAAAGTCATTTCTATGACATCCTTCTCAGTCTGTTAGAGGTAAACAAAATGTTAAATCCAATAAGGGGATGAGGACATCAGGCTGCTGTTTTGCTTTTTTTGTTTTTTGTTTTTCCTTTTAATCAGAGTGCATTCTCTATTCAAAATAATCTGAGAAGACTGGCATGAAAATGCAGATTCCTAATTGAACAAAGACAATTATTTCCAGATTGAAATACAGTGGTGAATAGCTCAGTGCTCCAATTACTTTAGACTTTTATTTCAAATGGAAGGCTGAAATCACAGACGAGTTAGCCTTAATTGGAAGGAATGACTGAAATTGTACTTTTAATGCCCTACTGTATCATCGTATATGTAGGTCATCTTTTTTTTTCATGTATTCATGATGGTGCCCTGTTTACATGTCCATTTGGGACAGTAAACTGAACTGGCTGCCTCTCTCAAAAAAAGTAAAAGCATGCTGGAGTTTATCAGAGCCACGAAACTGAATAGCTTTCAAATAAAGAAATCGGAGAGCACATTATTTGTTGTAGCTATGTGTATTAAACTAAAGACTCACATGAATGCCTAACTCAAGATAGTGTAAGTTCAAGCACGTTTTTCCTTGATCCTGACTGCTCCTAATACTCATTTAAAAACTATTTCTGAAAGTAGCCCAAACATGACATATTGGTCCAAAAATTCAAGGCAAATCTAGCATGTTGAGAAAACATAATTGTAAAAAATAACTTGAGGAATGCGAAGGATTTACAAAGTTTGTGCTTCTCAACCAACCAACAACATGAAAAGGGTGTTTGCAGAACACTTGCTTCAAGGGGTTGAGTTGGGAGAGATGAAGTGGGCAGAAATCTTGTTAGCTGTGATCATTGTTCTCAAGTTCTCTCTGTTCTCTAGTTGGGAACAATAAACCCAGTACAAGTAGGCAGATTTATATATAAGATGAATTATTTGCATCTTATGTGCTAAGTTCTACATTTTCCAAAGAATTTCACAAACTGTTTCTTTTGGGCCTCACCCCTTAAAACTGGACATGAAGGATACTCTCACCTCTTTTTAACAAAGAGACCAAAGACCAGATCCTCACTTGGGGTTACAAAATAAATGAGTTCAGAGCTGAGATTAGGGCCCAGCCTCTGATATAACCCCTGAAACATGAGGACCATGACTTACCACTGCATGTCACACCACAAAATTATATATATATATATATATATATATATATATATATATATGTAAATTGGGAAGAACATGTCTTCTAGTGTTAATTCACCATTACAGGTTGCTGTCCCAAACAGATAGAAACAGAGCACTATCATATACACATAGAAAAGATGATCTACATACAAATGGTATAATGGGGTATTAAAAGTACAATTTCAGTGATTCCTCCCAATTAGCAAGATATTTACTATTATGCACCTTTTACAGGTTTAGGGAGTGTAGCTTAGTCCCTAAAAGGGTCTTTTCCAAAGTCATCCAGCTATTAAGTACTGGAATGAGACCCAAACCCAGGCCAGCTGATTCTAAATCCTGTGATTTTTTCCCTTTCACTAGGAGAGATTCCAATTTGTACCTCCTCCTCCATCCCGTTTTTCACAAACTGTATTTATTCACCATCACTTCTAGCAGCATGCTTTATTTTCACACAGATCTGAGCACTGCACTTCCCTGGTCTGACATTCCCAGGAGGCTTTTCCTGGGAGAGCTCTTTCCTTCTCACTATGTCCAAGGTGCTTGACAACTTGGCAAGGCAAACAAGCAGCAACAGGAGCAGGCCAGCTGATGTTTCCTCTTTCTGACCATTTGCCACTGTCTTGTTTGCCGAAGTCAGTATTCTCTTTTGCTTTTTTATGTATACTTTTTTTAAAGTATTCACTCACCCTTGGTTAGAGCAAGTTTTGCCTAAAAGTATCAAAGTCATTTTGAAGGAGTAATTTGAGGAAGATCTAAATCTCAATTAATTTCATCATGCTTTGCTGAGTACATCAAGTTAGTGACTAAAATTAGAATGGAATACCAAGCATGCTTGGAAGTACAAAAAATTAACTAAGGACCTAGCATTCTCAGATTCCTTTTTCTTTAGGGTAAATATATAAATTTGAAAATTAAGACTGTATAATTTTACTTTTAACTATGCAATATTACTTTTCTGATTTTACTTTTGACCATGACATGAAATACACCAGGCAGGAGGTACTGAGCTGTCTGTGGTCCTGAAAGTCAGTTATTAAGTATGTGATTTTTATTATTTATTTTATTATAAGCAATAGTGGGTCATTTTCCCAAAAGACAAAACTATTTTAAAGAATATTAAATATAAACAGAGAATTTAGACTCATCTTATTTGACTTTAATTACTTCTGAGCAGATAAGTTTATGGAGCTGGTTGCTTTCCTTATCCTGAAAGATAGCATTAAATTACAATAATATGTAGCTACAAAGTATGAATAAATACAAACAGTAAAAAAGCATAAACAGGAACGAACATGTCTAATCTTCTTTTTTTTTTTTCCCAAAATGGCTCAACATAATCTTCTTCTCTGTCTTAATTATAGTCTTCTGACAAAGAAAAAGAGCTCTTTTATCAGAGCTCAAATATTGTCACATAATCTTTGTTAGATTTTTCTTTCTAATATTTATAAACAGGAGTCTTATCATAATTATGTCATTTCTTTTTATTATGAGTACTTTGAAAAATAAATGTAGTTTTATATTGTTTGTTACTCTTTATATTGTAAGCCCTTTTCAGTTCTGGGTTTTTCAATTTTTGATTTGGGTTTTACATGTTAAAACGAGAGGGAAAAAGAAGCTTCTAGAGCATGTGTATTCATGTTGGTCATTGAACTTTCTATAGCATTGCTTCCCCAGAGTGGATGGCAGTTGTATACTTGTGAAGCAGTTATTTCCCACTCACATTATAGATGAGGAAAATGGAGGTCCATAGCAGTTAGCATTGCACAGTAAGTAAATTACAATATACAACTTAAGAGGATCTAATTTATCACCCTTCCTCCAATGATTTCTGATAACTTATTAATGTCACATGCCTTTACATGCTTTGCATTTTGTTGTTATTCTCTATCATTGCAAGAGGATCATTTCTTGTCCTAGCCAAGCAACAAATTCCTAAAGGCTTCAATTCATGCTGTATCTTCTTTGATGGAGAGAAGTGTTTTGTCACCCATAGTTAAGAGCCTGGGTCTTGTAGTTAATCAGACCATGGTTTTAAAGTTTGAACCTCAGTTTCCTTATTTGTTTATTGGAATCAACACCACCTGCCTTGTACATTTGTGCATAGAGTTCATTAAAGTATCTCAGCACCATAGTGCTCAATAAATATTGTGTTTATATTGTTATGTTTGTGTAAGATAGATAGACACCATGATGGATACCTAGCACACAACTTTAATTCTTAACAAATAAAGGAACAACTAACTTTGGGGACATTATGGAAGGCACATTTATGTGATAACTTAGACCCTCAGGTACAGTCAAATGCCTTTATATTATGCCAGGCACTCCACTAAACTCTATGGACAATAAAACAAAGTTATTAAACAAAGGTAATAATCTCCCTAGCTCTAAGTAGGGAGAGATATGGGTTGTTGAATTTGACTTAAAAGTTAGTTTGGGAGCAGAAATTTGGTTTAGCAGTTAAGCCTCTCATTAAGATGCCCATGTTCCACAAGGGGGTTCCTGGGTTCAGTCTCAGCTCTAGATACTGCTGCAGCAGCCAGATGATTTGAACCCTGAAGGCAAAAATCGTGGCTCGAGTAGTTGGATTCCTGCCACCAACATGGGACACGTGGACTGAGTTCTCAGCTCTGAATTTAGGCATCCTGGACATTGCAGTCATTTGTAAAGTGATTAGTAGATAACTGCAGGAACTAGAGAAAAGGAGGCTTATTCTCTTTCTCTGTCAAATTCATTCATTCCTTCAAATTCATTCATTCATTCATTCTTAAATGGTGGTTCACATATACAGATTTCTTTGTCTCATCCTAAAACCTCTTCTCTTAGCAAACTCTCCTATTCCTTTGCTTCTACAATTATTTCTAGATGAATTTTTAAATTCAGATTATTTTCCTTAGAGTTCACATCTAACTGCATAATAAACTCTTTTCCCTCAAAGTCAGAAAGTCACAAAAATGAACTCATTAACTCTCTTCCTCCTCCCCAACCTTATATTTCCTTCTCATTCTCTATCTTAGCAACTGCAACTCCAGTTAAATTGTCATAAACTCAGATTATTCCTTATTTCTACATAGAGTCAGTGTCCAACCACAAATAATTCTACCTTCAAAATATCTCCCCAGCATATCCTTTCTGTTTCTCTACTCAAATCTTCCACTACTAGTGCTTTCCTAGTTGAGGTCAACTCTTCCCTCACAACTGGGCCCCTGCCACTCTACTCCATCCTCCATCCATACTTTTAACATAAGCAGCTTAGTGTGATATTTCTTGTTTCCATGTCTTCTCTGTTTCCTCTTCATCCAGAATGGATTCTAATCTGTTTAATTTGTCTTGACATTTCAACAAGTCAAAAACTAGTATCCTCATTCTCTACTCAATGAAAGAAACCAGAGACAGGCTGAGATTGAAATATCAGCTTTACTAATGAAAATGTAGCCAAAGAGCTAGGTTTAGGTTTGAGAAAGCCAGCAGAAATGATGTTCCTGCTTATCACACTGTCCCTAGAAGC